TACAAAAACATATGCCTGATCTAACTAGAGTTTATTCGTTTGAACGGTTTTCAGCCTTGGTTTACCGGTATCCAAATTTATTGAGCGTTTTTTTTTTCAGGGTTTGTCATATTGCACTGTTGTATCTCTCCACGGAGTTCTGGGAAATCATTCGTAAAAGTCTCTATTGTCGTAGGGTTGGCAGTAGACATTTTGCTTGTACAATCAAGAAGACCAAACCAATTGGCTTGCCGTGTTGCCTCGAGTCACGGCAAGTCTATTGTACAGATCTTATCATCGTTGTTGCTGGAAGACCACTTGGCTTGTATACTCGTAATAGTCAGTATTTTACCGCCCGACAAATGTAACCGCGAAACGCTTCCAAAGCGAGTTGATCAGCAATAACTAACTGCAAATGAAACATCGTTACAAAATCGTCAGTGAGTAAACGGTCATTACAAAGGCATGCATCGAGTACTGCCGATGGACAGTGGTCTCCCCGACATCCCTGCCTCCAGAGCTCCCAATATTCCATGGACTCTTGTCGGTTGTAGCTACATCACACTGTCTATCATTTGTTCGGTATGGTACCTCTACGTGGTTCAACCCTCACTTTCCAACGACGTGTGGTGGGCCAACTACTCCAGTTCCAGAGACCAAGCGCTGGTCATCGACATCTTCAACGCCATCCTCCCCTCACAATCGTCTGGCGCACTTGACATCTTTTCTCCACGAGCTACCATCGGCAGACCATACACCGCCGTTATACCAAGCACAGCCGTCTATTCCACCTATCCCCGGCAGTTGGTCTTGACAGAGCTCACTTCTGTCGAATATGCCGTGCAAAACTTACGGTCTTTAGACGCCCCAAACAGCCTGTGGATGGGAACTCAGTATTGCTGGGTGGATTTCCAGAAACGATTCGAAATCGCCCACACCGAAACACGTCAAACTCGCTGTCGGGATCGGTACCGCTCCAACGGTGCAGTCTACATGGAATCAATGCTGCGAAACCAAGTCTGGGACGATTTTATGAGTTTTTACGGGGCAGTCTTTGAGATCGCCGTTCAAGATTGGCTCGTCCAAAGTGAGGACGGTCGACGTTGGGTGGCAACCACGTCGTCCGCTCGACCCACAACGACTGCGGCCGAGGAAGTGGCGCTCTGGACTGAAAACGGCATCACGTCGTTTACGCTGCAGTGGCAGAACGACTTTGTCAACGGCATGTCGGACGCGATTGTGCTGGTCAACGCCCTTGGCATGCAGCAAGAACTAGTCCTGCGCAGTGTGTCGTATGCTGAGGTGACGTGGACGTCTGTAATCTTGTATTGGACCATCATGAACGACATGTACTACATGTACTTGACCAATCGAAGCCTCATTCGGTCTGCCAACAACTCCTTCCTCCAACACCCCGAGGTAGTTATGGACAGTATGCCCACCAATGTTGGCGAGTATTTGACCCAAGTGGACGCGTTCCGGGCGTCCATCGGCCCCTTCTTTTGTGTCGACGCGTTTGTCGTCCCCGTGCCGCCGACAGTCGTGGCCTTGTATCGGCAATTCGAGGACATTGTTCTAGCCATGGCGAGGCTGAACGTCGACATTGACTTCGCAGCAGATGCGATCCAGGGCACGACTCTCTCCCCCACTCCCCCATCGTGGACTCGCCAAGACCGATTGTTTTACGGTGGAAACCCTCTCTGCCTGCGTGGCGCCCCTCAGGTGTACGTGCAAAACACGTTTGGTTTTCACGACTTGTGCGACAAACAGACCCCACTTTCTCTCGACTACAATTTGCACGCCAGCCTTTTCGCCGTCCAGGCGACCAAACGGGTGCAAGTTGACGACATTTGTGCGGTGGTCGCTGCTCCCGAATCCTGCCGTCGGTTGTGTCAATCGATTCTTGAAGTCGAAAAGCACTTGCCCCCAGTCCCAGCCAGCTTCACTGCGTTGTTCGACGACGTATTCCACCAAGTCACACTTCTCAACGTGGGGATCATGCAGTTTGCATCATCCGTGGACGGGTTCAACATGACAATCTTGTTCGAGCCGCTGCTGCAAGACCCTGCCTTTCAGTTCTTTGGGTGGTTCTTCATCTACGAATGGGTCTCTGGGAGGCGCGAAGTCGTTCGATTTGACGGAGACGTGGCATCGTTGACTCTGATGTCGGTGGCAGAGTCGCCAGTGCAATTTTTCAGCGGAGCAGAGTCTATTGCGTCAGCGACACACGGCTTGTACTACGTCGTGGTCTACGTCACGGCGATTTTAGCTACGATTTGCACCGCAAGTCTCGTCTCGACGCTGGCCTTTGGGACTTCCAAGTTGCAAACTTCCGAGTTTTTGTGGTTCAATCACGTTGTGGGGTCCGTGTGGATCGGTCGCCCCTTGCTCCTGCTCCGTGGTGGCACCGCCATCCTCGTTCTAAGCACGACCCAGCTCCACCTGGCCACGATCAACGGCGTCCATTCCCACTTTGAGTTTCGACCGAGACACTGGTTCAGCACGTGTGTGATTGCTGGCGAAGCCACTTGGGCTCTGTACGTTGCGGTGGACTTTCTCACTGTGGTCACGTCTCACTTTACCAGGTCGTACGCCCCCCTGAGCTGCGTCATTGCATGGTCCGTGCTGGTCTTGGTGGAACTGACGGTGCCTGTGCTGCCCTGGGCCTGGATCGATCGTGTCTGCACTGGCCAAAACATGGACCAAGCCATCAAATGTTCCAGTGGAGGGATTCGAATGGGGTCGTTCGATCGGGTACGCCTAATCTTATTGATTCAGAGCCTTTCGATCTGTGCGGCCATGGCCATTTCCTTGGTATACAAGACAGTGCTCGAACGGCGGCACCCCGTCCCTGCTATTCGTTTCCAGCGGTACATCCTTGGTGTAGCCGACAACTATTTTCCTCTGGAGGTCTCAGATCTGGACGACTTGGCCTCGCAGAACTTTGCGTCACAGCTCATGGCCGGACTCATCCCCTGGCGACGAGGAGGGCTGTTTGATATCAAGTTGTGGTTGCACGACACAAGCCATTCACGAATAGCTCGCAAAGCCACAATTGCGAACTTTTCCCAACTCCAACCATTGCCACGAAAGTGCGTGTCCGAACGAATGCAGAAACGCCTAACACGAATGGGCGAATGGCTTGCGGTGCTTTACGCGTTTGGAGGCATTGCTGGGAGTGTTTTATACTTTCAGGTCGCCCAAGTGAACTTGGCCAACGATCTGTATTGGGCCACGTTCAACATGTCTGGAATGCATGTGTTCATGTCCAACTGGCTAAACGACGAGCTATATCTTGGCGTGCGCAAGACGGAGACTGCCATGGACGTCGAGTATATCAATCAAGATGGATCGTTTGACCAAGACAGCAGTCGTATCATGTCGCCCTCCAACTTTGGCCAAATGCTACTCTACACGGAACTGAATGCCATCCAAGACGCGATCGTGGGCCTTCGGGCGTCGGATGCGTGTGAAGTGCCATGGATTTCCACGCAGTACTGCTTTGTGGACTTTGACCAGCGGTGGGATTTGGCCAACACTGCAGCCAGACAGCAGCGCTGCCGACGAATGACATCAAATGGGGCCGTGTTTCTCGAATCCGTATGGAGGAACATTGACGGTCACGAGTTTGCACGGTGCTGGGGACATGAGATCGATGCCGCAATCGTGAACGACTTGAAGCAATCGACAGCAGGTCAAGACTGGCTTAATGAGGTGTTCGCCGACGAGAAACCAAGCGTGAGTACTGAAATCGCGTTCTGGAAAACCCACGGAGTGAGTCACTTTACCACCCAGTGGCAAAACTACAAAACCATCGGCCTTGTCAACAACTACGCCGTGACCAACGTGTATGGCATCTCGTACCCGTTCACGCTGCAAAACGAATACTCGAGGTTTCGGTTCGAAAGCGAAACGACGTTTAAAATGTACTGGGCGTTCGCGAGCGACTTGGCGGCCGTGTCCAACAATGCCACTGCCATTGCCGGACACAGCTTGATCCGGTCGAGTTCGCTCTTTGCGTTTGCCAATACATCGATGCAGTCGCTGCTGATGGAGAATGGCACGGTGTCGAGTCCGTTGCCCAACGCGTATCGCTTGCTCCAGTCTGAGCTTGGCTCGTTCGGATCGGTGGACGTGACCTACGTGCCGTGCCCGTCGATCTTGAAAGGCGTCGCTCGTCAAGTCTTTACAACACTGAGGCAGTCCCTCGCGCAAAGCGACGCGGCACAAGTTGCGTATTTCAACCTTCCCAGTGGTTTGAACCTCATGAATCCAGTGCCAAGGCAATGGATCGATTTGAACTTCTATTCCATGAGCGGCAGCATTTTGTGTCCGGAAGCCCAGCCGAATCCGATATCATACGGACTCTTCGGCCTCGTGGCATGGCATCGAGACTGTTCGTACACGCCGCTCTACGCCGAAGTGTCATATGACCGTCAAAACGTCCTCCTTGCCGTCGTAATGTCCGAATTGATGCCCAAGGTGACGCCAGAATTTCTGACTCGAATTTGTCAACATGACGGTGCTCAGAATCCAGAATGTCCCAACTTTATTATGTCCAACCTTGCGTTCGTCAGCTACTACATACATGCCACGTTGAACACGAGCATTTCCAGCATAGTGGCCCAGGCCACCGACGCAGTTGTGGCGTTGAACGTCGAATTTGTACAGTATGGCAGGCTGGACGAAGCATCTCCTTTGACGCTGTACCGTTCCTTGGTATTTGACCCTTCTGACGAAAGCTTCGAGTTCTTTTCGTGGGTGTTTCTGGTCGACTGGGTCGTGGGCTATCGCGAAGTCGTTTCGTTTGAGGGCGATGTTGGAACCATGACATTGTTAACGGAATACCAGCCATTTCTCAAAGACCATGTCCACACGGCCCAAATCCCAGTGAACTTAGCGTCGTACCTTCGAACTGTGGTACTGTATGTGACTTCGACAATGATCTTCATGGCGGTCCTCTTGCTCGTGTATATTGCGTTGAGCCATGGACACGTGGACGTGATGAACTTGTTCAAGTTGCAACGCGTGGGGGCCATCGTGTGGGTCGGTCGGCCGCTGTTGTTTGTTCGAAGCCTCACTGCCATCGGCGTACTCTCGACAGCATCCCTCGAGCTGTACTACTCTGGCTACATCACGTTTCTCAAATCGGCTCAAGTTCCGTGGTACATGACGATCCTCGCCGCCAACGAAATCACGTGGCTTGTGGCGATTGTGAACGACATGGCGCTGGTGCTGACGCAAGAATACACGCCTCACTACGCCACGGGCAACACTATGTTGGTCTGGCTGTTCACAGCCACCCTTTCAATTGCCATTCCAACAAGTCACGCCATGGTAGTCGACAAGCAATGTCAAGTGGCAGCAATGGACTCGCTGGTCGTTTGTACGAGCGGCCACCTTGCCATTGGACAACCGCTGCGCCTTGTGGGTATGGTTGGTGCAGTGCTGACGTGCAACGCGTTGTGCTACTTTGCCGCCCGACACGTGATGGACAAACCAGAGTCGACGCCGCTCAAGTCCGTGTTCTTGTACGCTGGGGCCAAGTACATGTTCTCCACTGCCGATTGGATTGACGGCCACATCTACTACATGGATCGCATGTCCGCGGCCATGAACGGCATCCTGACCATTCGACGGGGCACTGTCATGTATGGGCTGGACATCAAACTATGGCGAACGCTTCACGTGAATCTAGCAGACACTAGTCCCCATACAACCGCGGCCCACTTTGCACTTCCGCTGCACATGTCCAACCGGTATTCAGGGTAACAATCCCACGCCCCAGCAAGTAGAATCTGGACTGTACTTCCAAATTTGTACGAGCTAGTAAAGTAACAGTGATTATTGTACTCCGTGTGGCTATAAGATTAGTTCGAGGTGCCACGTCTTGCCACCGGTGACCGAGAACAAAGGTCGCAGTTCTTGCTCACAGTCGGGTATTCCAATGCTAAAAAATGATTGGTCTTGTACTGTACGTACTACCACAATGCAGCCCCCCACAGACATGCAATTCCATCGATTACATTTGTAACAAGTCTCGCAACGCAATGACAGCGTGCCCTCGCAAGATCACACAAAGTCGTGCTAACCGGACATCGCCACACAATCCAACACGCACTCGAGCCACGGCTCTTTGCCGTGGACCACGGGCGACAGTCGCGTCACGCGGAATCCGGCTTGCACGTAGAATTCAACCAGATGTGGCTTGCACAACAGCAAAATGGCTTCTACTTGCGGCTAAACAAATCAATGAATGGGGTCCTGGCTACGATGCTCGTACGTTCATACTACCTGGTTGGCGAGGATGCCATCGACGTAATGCTTGAGCATGGCCGACGCGAGGCCTCGGCGGCGATACGCGGTGTCGATAACCACTGAATGGATGCAAAGGAAGTGTCCATTCGGGTCATGAAGGGACATCGTCTCGTCTTCCAAGTCGCGCCGTGGGGCAAGCGTGCCATTGACAAACCCGACCAATTGGTCATTCAATGAGTCGTAAGCTCCCAGAAAGAAAGCACCAGCGAGATCTAGACGCAGCTTAATCTGCGCTAGTGACGCTGCTTCGTCCTCGGGATACGACGCTGACTCGATTGCATGGACTGCCGACGCCTCCGAGATTGCGATGGGTTTGTAGGCGATCTTCGTCATGCCATGAATGAATAATATGCCATGTCCATCCGGATACCACGCAAATCCGGTACCGATAACTGTTAGGTTCATTTTGTTTCCTCGAACTCTTGGGTGGCATTCGAACATGTGAGTGCATGACAGTGCAATGCTTTACTATTAACGTTAATACCTGTACTAGTTTACCTCGTCCGCTGATGTAGCTGGTAGTATCAATTTTTCATATATTGCGCATCCCAACTCAAATGGACGTTTGTGATTGCAATACCGTATAGCGACCGGGAAGTGTCTTTCATTTGCTGAACAAAACCTGCTAAAAATCACAAGCGCGTCAAAAGAAGCCGACCCCAGGATCGTGACCGTCACAAAGAAGAAACACAATTGGTCCATGCCCATATTGCACGGCAATGTCTAGCGCATGAAGCCCCTCCTAAACTCTAAATTCTCAACATGATATTGTACAAACCAGAGTAAAGAGGTGTCGCTTACGGCATTTCGTAGCGATTTGTCACTTCCCCACTTGAGTAGCACCCGCACCACATCTTCAAAGCCGTGCAATGCCGCCTCCATCAACGATGTCCAACCGTTCGCCTAGGCAGTCCTCTCATGAGGATGCTTCCATCTCCGTTCCGAACTACAGTTCAGTTCAACATACATCCGTGGCATCCACCCAAGCCCCATACTGCAGCAACAGCTCCAGCATGGCAATTTGGTTCTTCTTTGCTGCCACCAACAGCGGCACGTCTCCGTCTCGATCGGCAACGTTCACATCCACACGCCCCAGGTCGATCCACTTGGCCACAGTCTCAGCATCGCCTCGGCTGACAGCATCTACCCAAAAATGTGTCAGGGGTTTGTTGCTTTTACCTTGGGCCGCCACGTCATACAGCTCCGTACCTGTGAGCTCCAAGTCAATCTCGTCCATTCGACCAAAACGAACGTGTAACCGTCGTGACCTTTCGCACAGGTCATAGAACAATGCACGTGATTGGCTTAAAAGAACACATAATTTATCGATTCTGACCAATCCGACTCCGATTTGTATCGTTGAGACACCATCAAGGGAAGCACCCGTCTTTGTCGAACATGCCGCACCAATTGTCGCGGTCCGTCCAGATCCACGGGAGTGCAGGACCTCCTGTCGCCCGCCGTCGCCCAGAGGATGCATCTCCATTGCGCGAGGAAACCTTCCGACAGATGATGCTGCTTCATGAAGCGCAAAAAGTGGTGTCCTGGGTTCCCGATTCTCTCGCCGATCGATGCTACCATTGCCAGGCGTTGTTTTCGCTAGTGCTGCGTCGCCACCACTGCCGTCGTTGTGGCAACGTATTCTGCGACACATGCTCTTCCTCCCGCATGCCTTTGGTGAGTGCAGGCTTCTTCACGCCCGTTCGAGTGTGCGACAAGTGCTGCGAGGCGGCCAAGAAGACCCACCGACGCATGTACAACGAGCGCCGCCGCCTCAGCCAAAGCGTCACCAGTGCAGCTATATCCCACGGAGTTGTTGAAACGATGGCGTCGTCGTCGCACCACGACCTCCACTCGCTTCTACCATTGTCGCCCATGGACGAGTCCGAGTCGAGCTACGCCGCCAGCCCCGCGGCCGCCCTCGCGCTCACGACGATGATCGACGTCATTCCCGGCGAAGTCGTCATGTATCGCGGTCCCAACGTCCATTTGCGGATCCCCAACGGCTGCGAATACGCAGGCACGGTGTACATCAGCAACTACCGCCTGGTGTTTTCGCAGACCACCGCGCCGTGCCTCAGCACATCCGAAGCATGTGCCCGCACTCACAGTCGACATGCCACGGTGACGCTTCAGGCAGACCACGTCACGGCGGCGCCGCGGTACCACGCGATTCCCCTTCGCACGATTGAACGGGTGAAGCGCCAGGAGCTCGCCGATTCCGACACGGGTACGTTGCAAAACTTTGACACTAGTCACATACTATGTGGCGTGTTGCTGCGCTCACAGGGTGCCACGTCAGTGAACGATCGTGCTGTCCTCTCCAGTGGCCACGTCATAATCTTAGTTAGGTCTGTCTCACACACACACTCGTTTGGTTCTTTATAGGGGTGCTGACGGTATTTTGCAAGGACCTTCGTCGCATCCAGCTCGTGTTTCTCGGGCTTGTGCAGCAGCAATCGTTCAGTCACTTTGACCGGTGCGACCGCGAACTCAAAGGACGCGGCGGGCCCGTTCATTTTGCCAAAGTCCATCAAGAGACGTTTCCCCACGCTCTCTGGGATGGGTGGGCAGTATACGACCCCGTGGCCGAGTTCAATCGGCTCGGGGTGGGCGCCACGACCAAGTGGCGGATCACAGACATCAACCAATCGTACTTGTTTTGCCCGACGTATTCAGCGTCGATTGCTGTCCCGGCCGCCGTGTCAGACCAAGTGTTGGCCACCGCAGGTACACACGATAAAGCATGGGAGAGAGGAAACGAAGGGCATTGGATTTATATAAGGCCATGGAATTGATTCAAGGGTGGTATTGTTGATGTGTTGGGGTAGGTGCATTCCGGTCCAAAGCTCGGATTCCAGCATTGACGTGGCGCGATAAGAAGACAGGAGCTACGATCTGCCGCAGTTCGCAGCCGTTGGTGGGCTTGGGTACGTTGTTGCATTGGCTGTTCGAGTATGATTCACATTTCCAAGATATTACGTGGCATATATATATATATGGTGTGGACTCTTATACTATATCATCACAACCCCAGCCTTTATTACCGCGGTTGCTGCTGCATAGAAACCCTTGTTGGATTTTCGATGATAATGATTGCTAAAGTTTTAGATCTATTAAACTAGAAACACTGTTATTTGATAAATCTGTTAAATATTTCATTGTCCGATGTTATGTGTTGTCGTGGTGGATGTCGATACAGTGGATGTCGATACAGTATATCATCATCATATACTCCTCGTGTAATAGGCCAAAAGCAATGCGCCGAAGACATTTTGTTGATTCAAGCGATCGCAGCGACCAACCCCAGCAGCTCCACGATGGTGATAGTGGACGCGCGGCCGTGGCGCAATGCGATGGCGCAAAAGACCGTCGGGATGGCCGGGTACGAGCTCACGTCACACTACGAAGTCAAGTCGACCCCCACTCCAGACAACACTGAAGCCAGCAGCACGTCGTTCGACTTGCCGCTCCACGGAAGTCATGCCGTGGACCCTCCCACACTTCATGATAAAACCGTCATGATCGGACCCACGACCTGTCGGTTGGTGTTTATGGGCATTGAAAACATCCACGTGATGCGCAAGAGCTTTCAGAAACTGACCGAGCTGAGCTTGTCCCCTGATCCACTGCACGACCCTCCAGGTCGATGGCACGAACAGGTCACCACGACTCGATATGTACTACCGAGTATTGTTGTCCTTTTTGAGTCAGAATTTGGACTTGCCAAATCCATCGATCGATGTTTTGGACGGAATGTTGTATGTAAACCAACGGGTGTCCAATCGTGCTATACACCATCATCACACTAATTGAAGTCACACACTAATTAGTTGCTTCCCGATTCCCGCAATCTGATTGGCTCGATGCTGTGATTCGTGTGCCACATTTTTGGTTGTGTCGACGTAACTTTAGTATAAATGGTATTATACTGTCTCCCTGTCCAAATTCTTAGATCGCGTATTCTGTTTGGTTGTGTCTATTCTATTTGGTTGAGTTGTTCAGTACGAGCGCCCATTGAATATCTCTCGTCCATCTTGTACATATGTATTGGGATGCCAACAACATAAGCGAGTTGTTCAATTTAGTTTTATGTACTGCCCGTGTTCATCATGAATGTATATTATTTAGCTGGCGCAAACCAAGTGGATGGATCACCTTAGCCGCATCTTGCATGCGTCGGTGGAGATTGTGCGGCTGGTCAAGACCGATACGGCGAGTGTTCTGGTGCACTGCAGCGATGGGTGGGACCGGACGTCGCAGCTCACGGGGCTCGCCGAACTTATGCTGGATCCGTACTACCGAACCCTTCGTGGCTTTGCTTTGTTGGTGGAAAAGGTAGATATTGATCGATGATAGATCCCTACACTACACTACACTCGACGTTGTGTGAAAACAACATGCACATCGATTTTATACATGTCTCTCTCTCTCTCTCT